TTGCTCAGCATACAGATTGAATAAGTATGGTGAAAAGATACAACCCTTATGCATACCTTTCCTTATTTTAAAACATGCAGCGTAGCCTTGTTCTGTTAGAACGACTGCCTCTTGGCCTATGTACAGGTGATAGATTATCTGTAAAGATTTACAGCATACGAAACCCTATGGGGAAGTTCTACTCTGACACATGGGGTCGCTATGAGTCGGAATCTAACAAACAAAATCTGCTCACTTGCCACAGTAACATTTTTAACGTGGTAGAGTAGGGGCAGAGTTGTTGAGTCAATTCCGACTCATAGCAACCCTATAGGAGAGAGTAGAACTGCCCCATAGAGTTTCCAAGGAGCACCTGCTGGATTCAAACTGCTGATTTTTTGGTTAGCAGCAGTAGCGCTTAACCACTATGCCACCGGGGTTTCCTGAGATAAGTATACTCTCTAATTACGGAGATGCTATCTTGTAACAAGCCTGATAATCCTTAAGCTAATCAACTAACTTGGATTTTGGCAATCCAGAGAAATGACCCGATGGCACTAAAATAAATGATTCTACGTATGTTATAAAGAGTTACAAAGGATCTTCTTTTGTAACATATTATCAATGTCCTTTGATACGTTTTGGAACCTGATTAAAAATGAGATAATGGGGAGTCCTAGGATTACAAATAAGGTCTGTTCCTAAATCAGTCTTTAAGTCGAATTTGTACATGAGTAGGAACAGTTGGGTAGGGTTCATATCTAACGTCAGTTAGTCAAATATTTGTCTTAGTATATAGTGTACTGTTAAAGAAACATTTCCAGATACACTAAAACATCTTTAACGTAATAATACAGTAATAATAATAATGTTTTGATGCACATTGCAAATTAGCACCCGTTATTGTGAACCATTGTATGTATCTCGAATTCTTAATGTACTAGGCTTTTGTGGGGTTGGGAGTTGGTTCATAACTACATGTTGTATGTAAGTCGGACATTTGTAACCTGGGGACTGCCTGTAGTCTCATCTGTATTACGAAAAGCTTTGTGAAGAATTTTAGCCCTTGCAGTGAATCCTTCGGGCATGGTGGTGGGAAGCTGAATAGATAACTGTGTTTTTAGGAAATGTAATGAAGTAGAGCGAAGGCAGTGGTGGCTCAGTGGGAGAATTCTCCCCTTCCACGTGGGAGACCTGCATGGTTTGATTCCCAGCCAGTGCACCTTATGCACAGCCACTGCTCATCAGTGGAGGCTTGCATGTTGCTATGATGTTGAATGGGTTTCAGCAGAGTTTTCAGACTAAGATGGTTTAGGAAGAATGGCCTTGTGATCTACTTCCAAAAATCAGCCAATGAAAACCCTATGGATCACAGTGATCTGGTCATGGGAATGGCACAGGACTAAGCAGTGTTTCCTTCTGTTGTGCGTGAACAACAAGAATGTAAAGTAGAACGTTTTCTATAATAGAAAAATCGCTTTACCTTTGAATATGAACTAGATGCAATAGTGTGTGGTAACCTAGAAGAAGTGGAGGAGTTTAAGCTACCCATTGAACTTGAACCATAACAATGATTGCCAAAACCTACTATTGTCTTTATAAGATAATAGCACGTTTCCAACTTGATTCTCTGCAGTAACTGAAGCTGGCTTTGGTGCTGACATTGGAATGGAGAAATTCTTCAACATCAAGTGCCGAGCTTCGGGCTTGGTGCCCAACGTCGTTGTGTTGGTGGCAACGGTGCGGGCTCTGAAGATGCATGGGGGCGGGCCGAGCGTAAGTCCCCATCCTTCCTTACCAATAAAAAAATTTGTAATTAAAACCAAACAGAATGGAAACATTCATGCATGCTGAGTAATGTCAGTATTTATACAGTTTCCTAGAATTTCTCCTCTCTAAAACCTCCTTCACAAATCATCATCATAAGGCACTTAGAGTTGAGTACGTTCAAGTAAATAGTAACACCCACATAGTTATTTCCAAGCAGTATTTTGGAAAGGAGCACGATGTAACCACTTTCAGTGTTACGATTAATATCTGAAACTCAGGTCAACATTTTATAACCACATGGTAATGAGAGGAGAGACCTCTTGTTCTTGAATGAAGAACATAAGGATTAGTGATTGCTTTGATGGCTGAAGGTTTTCAGTTTGTACAGATAGTTTTTCGGTTCCCTGATGCTCCATCCCATCAGATTTCACCTAAAACTATATTCCTTCTGTTTCTGCTTATTATGATTTTGCTTCATAACCCTGTTATATCATTGGCCTGTTTCTAAAAACTTTACTTGGAAAATACAAATTCTATTTTAACTGATTCAGTAGAATAGAAACTGATTCAATTTTTAAAGACTATTGATATTTACCTTATTATTTAGAGAATTTACAGACATCTGAAGGGAAATTTTTTCTTTCCATAGAAAAAGTGTGAGTTTATTTTGTTTGTTTATTTGACTGTTTGTTTTTTGTTTTTTGGGAATTTCAGATGGAGACTAAGAAATTTTATGCTGGTTGAGCATTTTGAAATAAAATAATCTGAAGTTTCTTTATCATTATACTACTAATATACAAACTGCCACACCTGATCTCTTAATTGGTATATTGTGTGCACAGAGGTCATGTAATCAATGATCATTCCATAGTAAGAATAAATAGTGGAATCCCTGGGTAGCACAGACGGTTAATGTGCTGCTAACCAAAAGCTTGGAAGTTGGAGTATTCCCAGAGGTCTGTGAGTAGAGGCTTTCGTGTTGCTGTGATGCTGAGCTGGTATCCATACAAAGACGGACTAGGAAGAAAGGCCTGGCAATCTACTTCTGAAAAATCAGCTACTGAAAACCCTATGGAACACAGTTCTATTCTGACAAACATGAGGTTGCCATGAGCCAGAATCGACCCAACAGCAACTTTTTTTGTCAGGGGAAGGGGTTGCCTTGTTTTGTTTTTCTAAGAATAAATGACAAGTTTGCCATTATGAAACACTTAGCATGCATTTTGTAAAATCATCTTAGCAATTCTGTGTCCTAGGAGAGGCAGAGATTGTTTTTATGCCGTTTTACAGATAAGGAAGCTGAGGTTTGGTGGGTTTAGGGTACTTGAGCAGTATCACTGGCCAGCAGAGCTGGTGGCTGAGCCTCAGACTTCACATCCAATTCCCCTGCTCTGCCCACCAGGCAAAACTGAATATTAACAAAGAGTTAACATTTTCTGGAATCTCAAATAGCCTAAAACGTCGCTATCATTTTGAATGTACGATTGATAAAACATTTATTATATGGTAGGAAATCCTAGGGTTCTGATTGTGCTCAAAACACCAGGTGTTGCTACACTCACTTCTTGCCTTTCTTCAGACAGTTTTCTGTCAGAGTTAATTTGATAATTGGTGGTATATTCCTTTGGACTTGGAATCTGCGTACCAACTTCCATTGTCAGGAGAGGATTTCTACCTGTGTAAGGTACATTTGAAATTCTTCTTCCTGCCCTGACACCCTGAAAATTAGAAAATCAAAAGACTTTACTGCTGGAATGGCCCTTGGAGATTGTCTAGTCTGATTCAGTCTTTATAAAGGTAAATTCACTTAGACGCAGAGGGATTAAGTGGCTTCTCTAGTAGCACAAGGTCTGTTGACTTCCAGTCCAGTGTTTTTCCAGACTCTGCATTAGTCCTGTAAAAATTCTCCGCATGTCATTTCATCTTAACGAACGTGCCCTGCTTTACAACAGTTGCATTTTCTTCGCACCTTAATTTTTCATACCTCTTCCACTGAATGTCATGGTCTTCTATGCCAGTGAGGACAGTACAAGGCTCAGGCTTAGGAGGCATAGATGTGGGTGGAAGATAATAAAAGTGGAAGACCAGGAAGCCTGGCCAAGGTAACGTTTCTGTCCTGGGCTCCCCTAGTGCCTTGTCTGCCATACTGTTTCACGAATGTCTATTTTTGTTTCTCCCCTACTCAGCTTTGTGTTCCTTGGATTCCAGACGATTTCTTATTAATTTTTATATCCTTGGTGCCTGGCATAGTCTGTATCCAGGAAATGTTTTCAGTAATTGAATAATAAATGAACTTTTATCTTCTTAATCCTATATTCCATATTATCCATCTCTGTGTCTTTCCTTCTAACTTGAAACAACTCTGTATTAATATTTTTGACCCATTGTAATTTCTACTTCCTTTTGATATCTTTACACAAATAACCATGACTGCCTCTTATGTTTATCCAGCTTATTTTTTTCCGTAATTTGTACATTGGAAAATCTTGTGACCTTTGAACTTGCCTAGTTTAGCGCCAATCATTTTAAATTCATATCCTGTCTTTCAAAGTACTAACCACTCTGGGTGCAATACAAGAACTAATTCTGTTCTACTTTTGGATCCAGATATTCTTCGATATTGCCATCTAAAATTTCAAAGATACGCCCTTCACAATTAGTTCTTCAAACCTGTTATTACTGATATTTATGTGTGATACAATGGCCAGACCTAATTTCATTTTTTCTGTACCAATAACCATTTGGTGCGGCACTGTTCATTTAAAGAGTCCCTCTTTCTTTCCAATCTTCAAGCCTATTCTGTCATAAATCAGTTCTCCATACGTGCATGGGTTTCTTTCTGGCTTCTCCCTTCAGTTGCACTGGCCTATTTATATATAATTATGTCTATGCTGCCTTGAAGGAGCCCCGATGGCCCAGTGGTTAAAGCCGTCGCTGCTAACCAAACCCACCACCTACTCCGTGGGAGAAAGATGTGGCAGTCTGCTTCCATAAAAATTTACAGCCTTGGAAACCTATAGGGTAGCTATGAGTCGGAATGGACTTGACAGCAGTGGGTCTTGTTTGGGTGCTACATTGATAGCCAGTAGAGCCAGCTCCCCCATTTGGTCTAGTTATGGGTGCCTGGCCAGTTTTTTATCCATTTCACTTCCATATGTATCTTAGATTCAGCTGATCAGGTTTCCCCAAAGAATCTTTAGGATTTTTATTAGAACGGTATTAAATCAATAGATCACTTTGGGGAGATTTGACAGCTTTCTAAGGACATGGGATAGCTCTTCATTGGTTTAGGTCTTTTAAAATGTATTTTAATAAAAGTTTACAGTTTATTCCATAAAGTACATAAGAACAAATCTATCATATCTGCAGTATTTATGGTTATCATTTTTTTCCTTTCTAATTTCTTTTTAATCTTGCCAGAGTTTTATCAATTTTATTAGTCTTTTCAAGAACCAACTTCTGGCTTCATCCCGACTACTCTTTGGTACTTGCTTATAGCCAGTTCTTCCTGCTTCTGCTTTATTTTGGATTCTGCACAACTTTGCATGTGTGCAAGCTCAACAATGCTTTAAAAATTTTTTTTTTAATCCGGCGTTTTAGTTATTTCAATGGAAGGGTTCACTCAGTGATTTATTCTACACTACTGCTAAAAATACCCATCTGAAAATACTTTGTTATGTTCCTACACACGATCAACGAGCAACTCTGTCACAGAGGTGACTTCTTTTCAAAGGATTTCCAGTATTCACAGGGCCTCCTCTGCTCGGAGGAAAGTCACCATGTCCTAGATTAATCAAAATGTTCCCTGTGGTTTCTCACCTAAACCAGCAACAGGCGACAGACGGAAGCAATGTGGAAAGGTGGAACGGTGCTAAATTTGGGTTCCAGAGCCCAATAATATTCAAGTCCCTATTCTGCCTCTCATTTGATCTGTAACCTTGGGCAAGACACCCATCTCCTCCCAACCTCAGTTTCGTCATCTGTAGACTGTCCTCCAGCCGCATAGTGTTGTTCTGAGAAACTAGGTGCAAAAAATATTTTAAAAAAAGCAATGACAATTACTTTAGAATGATTTAGAGTTGACTTAGTATGATGCTGCACTTTGTGTAAATCAGGTATTAATTATAATATAATGGGCAACAGAACAGAAGTTGAGTTCTCAACACTGGCTCAAGGTATAGTCACCTGGGGAGTTTTTAAATATTACTGACCCTGAGTCTCACTCCCAGAAATCCTGATTTAATTGGTCTGGTGTAGAGCCCAGACGTCAGTATTTTTTTAAAAGCTTGTTCAGGCAGGGTTGCAGCTACTGGTTTAAAAGCACAAAGTATGGGGCTACCGTCTCAAAAAGCAACCGTGATTATTTTTTCTTTCAGATCTTTATCAGTTGGGGTAAGTATGTTTATGGGATTATTCTTGATATTTGTCTCTTCTTATTTCAGGTAACTGCTGGCGTCCCTCTTAAGAAAGAATATACAGAGGAGGTAAGAGTGACTGTTTAAACTCCTGTATAAAGAAAGAATCATTTGAATCCGATTCGTCATTGGCTTAGAGTTGAAACTCCATCAGAGAATGCGCGCTTGGCCGGTGGCCTCTTAGAAAAGTGTTTTTCTAATAATCCAAGAGGAAACGGGTCAGAACAAAAAAAAAAAAAAACCATTGCCATTGTTGAGTTGATTCAAACTCATGGTGAACCCATGTGTTACAGAGTGGAAGTGTGCCCCGTAGGATTCTCTTGGCTGTAATCTTTATGGAAGGTCTCTGGGTGGCCCAAATGGTTTGTGCTCATCTACTAACTGAAAGGAGCCCTGGTGCACAGTGGTTAAGAGCTCGGCTCTTAACCTAACCAAGGGTCAGCAGTTCGAATCCATCAGCCACTCCTTGGAAACGATATGGGGCAGTTCTACTCTGTCCTATAAGGTTGCTATGAGTCAGAATCGACTCGACAGCAGTGGGTAGACTAACTTAAAGCTTGGCAGTTCAAACCCATCCAACAGTGCCATGAAAGAAAGTCCGGGTGACCTGTTTCCATAAAGATCACAGCTAAAAAAACCCTGTGGAGCAGTTCTCCTCTGTAACACACGGGGTCGCCATGAGTCGGAATCAACTTGACAGCGATGGGTTTTGTTTTTAGTTTTTAATCTTTACGGAAACAGATCACCAGGACTTTCTTCTGTAGCACCGTTAGGCGGGTTCAAACAGCCAACCTTTAGGTTAGTAGACAAAGGCAAAGCATTTGTGCCACTCAGGTCAGAGGAGTGGATAAAATCCATTCTTTTAACTCAATCTTTATCTCCTATTCCCGACCCCCAGGGCAGCCAGCAGAGCAGGAGCGCTTTGACTTAAAGTTACTTGATTCTTTTACTCTTTACTGTAAGTAGACTTTGATTTGCTGGCAACAGTACTCTGTTAGCTCCTACAGGTGTCACCAGGGTTTGAGCAGGGAGGACCAGGACAGCCCTCCTCACCATCCTGGGGCTGAATGCTTTCTGTCCACCACCCCACAGAGTGTGGGCCTGGGGCTTACGGCCTGGCATCCTGTCAGCAGCAGAAACAGCTGCTTGAGGACCCATTCAACTCACCAAATCATTCTGAAAATGAGCCTCCTCTCTCTGCTACCATCTTTCTTGGAGGAAAAAGTGATTCATGGTCTTCTTAAAAAGCTTCTGGGATCCCTGAGTGGTGCAGATGGTTAACACACTCAGCTGCTAACTGAAAGGTTGGAAGTTCAAGTCCACCCAGAGGTACCTCAGAGAAAGGCCTGGTGATCTTCTTCCAAAAATCAGCCGTTGCAAACCCCGTGGTGCACAGTTCTACTCTGACCCATGTGGGATCACCATGAGTCGGACTCAAATTGATGGCAACTGGTTTGGTTTGGTTTTAAAAAGCTTCTAGAACAATAAAAAGAGCAAAGATGGGAGCAGAACCTGCCAGAGTGGCCCTGCCAGTTGAGCTTGGCAGGTTCGTGGGAGACCATACACTGGGATCTGGTTTTCTTACAGAACATTCAGCTGGTGGCAGATGGCTGCTGTAACCTGCAGAAGCAAATTCAGATTGCCCAGCTCTTTGGGGTACCTGTCGTAGTGGCTCTGAACGTCTTCAAGTAAGTTAAGCCTCTGCTTTAAATGTGGTCCTATTGCTGGACCTCCTGGGAACTCAGTTTGTGTCTTGAGGCTGCTTGTTTCATGTGCTTCATAGAAAAGTATACAGAAATACTCGGCTCTCTCTGCTTGTTGGCTTGGTTTAGTTTGGTTTCATTTTAGCAGAAGAGTTTTTAGGGAAATGAAATCTATATAATGAGTTATCATTTCCTTGGTTTTTCGGTTGTTTTTTATAAAATTCCACCCAGCATTTCTGTCTGAAGACTGTGGATGATCAAAGGAATATGTTATGGAATTCTCTCAATAAAACCCTTAACAGCTTGAAATATTTGAGTCGTTTGAGAGGACTTTCCCCCCATGCTTTTCTTTAAGTCTGATTTATTTAAACACGATGTGACCACGTTTGATGTTGAAAATATATTCAATGTCAGGGAGCGAAGTTCTATATAAACGGTTAGTCTTTCTTTAAAAACATCTCTAAATGAATACAGATGCAAAACCACAAACATTTCCATCACCAGGACCGACACCAGTGCCGAGATCGACGTGGTGTGTGAGCTGGCAAAGCGGGCTGGGGCCTTCGACGCTGTCCCCTGTCACCACTGGTCAATCGGTGGGAAAGGGTCGGTGGAACTGGCAAGGGCCGTGAGGGAAGCTGCGAGTAAGAGAAGTCATTTCCAGTTCCTGTATGACGTCCAGGTAAGACGGAACATCAGCAGCAGCAGCAATAATGATAATAAGATGGCTAACGTTTCTTGAACCCTAGCTATGTACCATGGGCTGAAACATAACAATGATTGTGAGGGTAATGTATCATCAGACAGTGTTTCGTTCTATTGTAGATAGGGTCACTATGGGTCGGAAACAACTCGACAGCACCTAACAACAACAGCAACAGCTATGTGCCAGGTCGTTAACTGAGAGCTGTACGTGGGATTGTCTCTTTAGTCGTCACAACAACCCTATGATGTGGGTATAATTCTTACCCCTATACTTCATCAACAGGAGTGTGTTGGTAACGTTGCTCATAAGGCTTCCACTTACGGAAGTGTTGCATGTCTGTGGGCAATTTGCATATATTAACTTCTTCAGTCCCAACATATCTGTTGGGTAGGACTGATGATGTTGTTTCCCCATTTTACAGATAAGAAAACTAAGGAAATTAAAGATGAAAGAGGTAATGCCATTTGACAAGGGCACATTGCCAAGCTCCTTGCCCCCATATCTCTGCTCTTGGCAGCCCCACTTTATTTCCAAATCACAGGCTCAGTGAGGAGATGCTTTGGAGAACAGGGTTCAACAGCTAACACTTTCAGTGGTGGCATCAGACTAGGCTTTTCAGAGGTCATGTGAAGTCATGGGAGGTTTTTTCTTGTCCACCTCTGCTGCGGCTCTTTTCCTGCATTGTGGTTTTCTTGAGCTACGTCTAGTATATTTTTAAACATATTAGATAATGAGGCTTCAGACATAAAATCTGTACTTCCCAGGACCTCACTCTTCTCAGACTGTTTATCCTGGCACCCACCCAGATGTCCCCATTCTGACGTTCTTGGCTCCAGTTCTGGCTAACAGACTTGTCCTCCTAGCTAGTCCATGATCCCCAGAGTGCGCAGCCTTCACGTGGAGAGCTTCCACTCCTGATCCTCTGTCCTCACAAGTTATGTTGGTCCGTCCCTGGGATGTCACAGACAGTAACATCCCTCTTTCCTGTTCAGGTGGAATCGGTCAGCAGCAGCATTTGTAAGCCTAACACTTCATCAACAAGAGAACGATAGTAACCTTGCTGTTAAGGCTCCCACTTGTGGAGAGCTTTCTGGGTGCCATGACTATGGGCACTTTGCATGTATTAGCTTATTTAATCTTAACATCCCCATTGAGTAGGACTCTTGTTATTCCCCCATTTTACAAATAAGAAAACTAAGGCTCAAAGAAATTAACTAACCTGCCTACTGTCCCATAGCTAGGAAGAGGCAGAGCTGGGAGAGCAACTGAATAACAGAAGTCATTGCCCTGCTCTGTTTTTCAGAGTTCAGTACTGATTTCAAAAGCGGGTATGGCAGGGGAGAGGAAGATATGGCTCAAAGAGGCAGTGACAAAGTGACATGCCTGAGAGGAAAGATGACAATGGTGGTGAGGGGCCCGGAATCCACACCAAGTGAGGTGGGACTGAGGGACCCAGTGGGAACTCAGTAATGCTTATGGAGGGAATAATGTAAGGAATGAATTGGGACATTTAGCCCATAAAAGCTTTGTCATGATGAAAGGTCATTTTATGAAAGAAAGACTAGAATGTTCTGGGCTATCATAGAGGTAGTCAAGATCAATAAGGACCAATCACTGCCATCGAGCCAATTCTAGCTCATAGCAACTCTAAAGGACAGGTTCAGCATAAGGTAAAATGTTCTAACTGGCAGCTGTGAGTTCTTTGACTCTGGAGATGTTAAGCATCAGATAGATGTAACCCTGTGGTTAGCATGTCAGACAGCAGCTAGCTGAGGTGGTGCTGTGTTCCTGTGCTTTGAAATCCCCCAATAAGCCTGGACAGCTGGGTGTCTGCACCTCCAGGCTCTGCCCATAGACATTCTACTCAAACACTGTCAGGAAGATCACTCCTCATATCCTGCCATGAGTACCTCAGACCCTCACTCTCTGATCTGAACCACCCTGATTTGAGTGGCAAAAGTGGGTTTTTTGTTTGTTTTTTAAAAGCAGGTTTTTTAATGAATGGTTTCACAAAGTGGGACTATTTTCAAGGAAACCATCCCAGGTGAAAATAAGGTCAGTAAGTACAAGAAATGCTTCTGAGGTAGTTTGCCTCAGACGTGCACTAACCCTAAGATGAACTCTCTTCCTTTCCACCGATACTCGCATTGTTTTTTTCTGAAGTCTCATTCTTCACAGAGATAATGCTGTTAAAACATCTGCTCTCCTGTGAAAGGGATAAACGCTTATAATACTGTGCTCTGCAGTCCTATATTGGGTAGGTGGCCTAAACGCCAGGATTCCTGCCTCCTTTGCCAACGTACTCTTCTCCCTCATAACACAGAAATTAAATTTGAGCTGCCTAATTGCTTCCTGTATTATCAGCCTCTCAGCAGATTTCATGAACACGGCAGCTTATGAGAAAGAAACGGCTGCTTCTGGGTCACTTTGTACCGTCTCCCTCATTTCTCTGTTCCTCACGCTGGCAAGAAGATTTTAGATAAAATAAGGCCATTTACAATCTTGTCTTGTAACTATATAGAGACCTGAGTTAGTTGGTGCAGTGAGCAACAGAACTCAAACCTTTTTTTTTACTTTTTTCTGGTTTTTTGCAAATTCAGTGCTGATGAAACTTTATGGACTCTCCCCCTCTTTTTTTCCCGCCATAACTGACCCTTTGGTGCTAGGGAGCTTAGTAGGTGTGGGATTGCTCTACCCAAAAAAAAAATGTTATGTTTTCAAGTAAGTCATCCCCTTGCTTTGCTTCTCAATTAAAACTAGGCTTCTGTGAACTCTCTCCTACCTCGCTAGACTTCATTCCACCAAGACTGTGTTCAATACAAGACTGGTGGAGTCTTATCTCCTGCTCAGCCCCCACCCTAGTCTCAGGGTACAGCCACCAGATATGGTTGGGGGAATCTGAAATCGTGTTGGAGCTCAGGGTAGGACTGCTGTGTGTGCACACTAGAAATGGTCTCAAACCCTAGTGGAAAGTGGAAAGTGGAAAGAGGAGCTGCTAGGGAGATGTAAGAAGACCTCACCCTGAGAGAGGCTGTGAGGCTAGACCACTCACAGGGTGCTGCTGTTATTGTTAGTTGCCACTGAGTCGGCTCTGACTTTATGGTGACCTTATGTATGACAGAATGAAACGTTGCCCAGTCCTGTGCCATCTTCGTGATGGTTGGTATCTTTGAGCCCGTTGTTATGTCTGTTGTGTCAGTCCATCTCATTGAGAGTTTCCCTCATTTTCACTGACCTTCTACTTTACTAAACATGATGTCCTTTTCTAGCGAGTGGTCCTCCTGATGACATATGCAGAGTAAGCAAGTCAGAGTTGCACCATCCTCACTCCTAAGGAGCATTCTGATTGTATTTCTTCTAAGACTGATTTGTTTGTTCTCATGGTATATTCAGTAGTCTTCACCAACACCACGATTCGAGTGCATCAATTCTTCTTCTGTTTTCCTTTTTCTTTGTCCAGCTTCTGTGTGCATATGAGGCGACTGAAAAGACTATGGCTTGGTTCTAGGCTTCATGATAAGAGCCGTATTTAAAGCAAGAAATGGGCCGCACTTCTGACTTGGGTGTCTGTTCTAAACTCCAGAGAAAATGGAGTTAAGTAGCCACGGTTAGCTGGGGAACAAGTTTGCATCTCTTTGACCACATTATCAGGCAGTTTGTGATTATGAGGCAGCTGTTGATTGACTCAGAATAATAATTCAAAAATATAGAATAAGAAGCAGAGACCTAATTGATTAAAAGAAGTTTACCCTGCAAGAATTAATATATTTAAACTTGAAATATGGCGTAATGTTTCCTCTCAACCCTTTAGATGCTCAGAGGCCCCTTTAAGAAGATCATCTTCTCATTGACTTTTTCTTTTCCAACTTTACTTTTGAAAATTCTGCCTTTATAGTTGACTGCGATAATTTCTCCATATCTGCAAGTATGCAGGGAAATATTCTAGTTGAAATGATAACTAATTTGTATTTACACTTTATTAGCTAACAAATCCCTCTTAGAAACATTACTTCTGACATCCTCACTGAATCCCATAGGGATGTGGCTTATTTCTGCCTTACAGATACAGAAACAGAAGCTCAAGGAAGGTGAGGGACTTGTAAGGCCCCAGAAAGAATGGACACTTGACGGAGTGATAACATATTCTAGACAGAAGAATAAAGCTTTGGAGTCAAGCAGAATTGACTTCAAATCCTGACTACTTACTACACTTACTACAGACAGAAATTTGAGCAAGTTAACTCATCTCTGTGATCCTCAGCTTCTTCATCTGTAAAATAGTGTCTCATACTAACACCATCCTCACCAAGTTGATGTGAGGACCAAATGGCATACTTTGGAGTAAAATGCTGGGATGTAGAGAGCCAGCAATCAGAGTTATCTAGCTCTTCCTCTTGCCATCACCTGAATTCACCTTCAGGAATTCTCTTCTAACTCCAGGCAGCTTTATGCAGTTCTAGTGTTGGCTTCCTTTTCAGTGGGGTTAAAACCAGGAGGTAGAAGCCAGGGTGAAGGAAAGATACCACCAAATTAAACCAAGACATGTGGCATTTTTCCTTCTCAGTTTGAATTGGGAGCTGTTCAGTGATATAATAAAAAGTCAGTCTCTCTCTTTTTTTCTTGTGTACTATTTTTTTCTAAATTTTATTTATTTTGTTGTTGAGAATATACACAGCAAAACATACACCAACAGTTTCTACATGTACAATTTAGTGGCACTGATTACGTTCTTTGAGTTGTACAATCATTCTCACCATCCTTTTCTGAGTTCTTCTCCCTCAGTAACATAAACCCACTGCTCCCTAAGGTTCCTATCTAATCTTTCAAGTTGCTCTTGTCAGTTTGATCCCATATAGATAGTTCTTAAAAGAGCATAATGCTCAAGGCAGACATTTTTTACTAGTTAAGCTAAACTATTTTTTGGTTTTATGAAGACTTCAGGAGATATTTTTTGTTTAAGGTATAAAGATAATCTT